ATTGATGAGGTCTTCCTCGATCTTTCAAGCCAAATCCACCAGATCCTTCTGCAGCGCTTTCCAGAATTATCAAATCCGCCCCCCTATGACGACCCTACTGAGAACCTTCCCTTGCCATCCATTGCTGCGCTCGACTGGCAGACCGATGCTTTGATTGATCTAGATGAGGAGCAGGAAACAGTCGACCCGGATTGGGATGATGTAGCAATCCTCATCGGATCTGAGATCGTTCGCAAAGTCAGGGCCGAAGTTCGACAGAAGTTGGGATACACGTGCTCAGCTGGAGTAGCAAGCAACAAGCTTCTCAGTAAGTTGGGTTCGGCGTACAAGAAACCAAATAAACAGACTGTTGTACGCAATAGAGCTGTACCTGCTTTCATGGCTGGCTTCAAAATCACAAAACTTCGAAACTTGGGCGGCAAACTCGGCGAGCAGATCGTATCAACATTCAACACAGAGAGCGTCACTGAGCTGTTGGATTTTTCTTTAACAACTATGAAAGCAAAGCTTGGCCATGACACAGGTCTCTGGGTATATAACACCATCCGAGGTATTGACACAAGCGAGGTCAATTCAAGAACACAGATCAAATCGATGCTGTCGGCTAAATCTTTTCGTCCAACTATCAACTCTTCAGAACAAGCAACGCGATGGCTGAGAATCTTCGCAGCTGACATATTCGCTCGCCTCATTGAGGAGGGAGTTCTGGAAAACAAGAGAAGACCGAGGACGATGAACTTACATCATCGCCATGAGGGACAAGTGAGATCTCGGTCGGGACCCATCCCCCAGGGCAGAACCATAGACGAAGGCAGTCTGTTTGAGTTGGCCAAGGACCTCCTTTCGCAGATAATCGCAGAAGGGAGAGGAGTCTGGCCTTGTGCAAACTTGAGTCTCAGCGTAGCAGGCTTTGAAGACGGCGTCAAAGGCAACATGGGGATTGGCGCATTTCTGGTCAAGGGGGAAGAGGCAGAAGCTCTTCGATCATCGATTCCCGATAACCGTCAATATTCTACTGGACCGGAACCCTCCGCGAAGAAACGCCGCGTCGAGGATGGTGGCATTCAGCGGTTCTTCTCCAAGCGACCCTCCACTGACCACGAAAGGACGTCCCTAACCGACTCACATACTCCCGGGGAAGACCCCAAAGATAGCTCTTTGCCACCAGATCCCGCCCAAAAGACCTTCACTCTCGCTACTAAGTATGATTATGAGGCCCGCCATGAATCCGACCTTACTATGCATGAGTCTCATGGATCACCGTGGCATGAAAGCGCCTTCGATGTGCAAGTGGATCAACAACAGCATTCATTGACCGATGTTGTATGTTCTCGCTGCAAGGCCAGCTTCGCAGACCCGGAAGCGTTGCAAAGCCATAGAGATTGGCATATGGCCAAAGATCTACAAGACGCAGAACGTGTCAAGCCCACATTCGCTGAGCGACAACCTGCTGCACGTAACTCTGCGCAAAAGACGCAAGGAACCACTTCAAGAAGGAGCCGGGGAGGCAAACTCGAGCAAGGTCAAAGTCGGCTCAAATTTGGCTGAACAGAAAGTGATTACTCTGCGGTTTCTCGCCCGAGCTTTTTGCAGGTTTGTGTTGCAATTGCTCACGCTCACTTTGCGTTATCGTCAACAAAAGGTCACGGCATGATGGCAGGAGGTAACTCGATGCACCGGCATCGGCTTATACCTGGGCTTTGCCGCCAGAAGACGACATGTTACATTGGCCGTTATCACCATTCTGCTCAGCATACGAGACTTGGACTTGTTCGTACAGCCGTGGCTGTGCGATAATCCACTTTTCGTGGGCGTTTTGGTAACCCCTTGAAGAAAGAGGCAGATGCACAATTCAGGAAACATGCAGATTCTTGGTCACACAAGTCTGTCAAAACAACCGAAGCGCCTTGACAGCTCGGTAAGGCTGCGAACAGCCGAAGCGACCATCAGGGGGATCAGCAAAAACCAAGGCTGTCGTGCTCTCACGCACGCGTCTCATCTTGAATCAACGGAGAGGCCGGAAGCATGTTAATAAAACCACAGTCTGCTGATGGATTTACGGAGTACAGAAACCATCAAAGTCAATGACAAAATGTACGACTTCGTGGGATGCCAAGATGTTGACAAGTTTGGGTCAAATTTCCCCAGATGATTGGACAGCAAGGCTTGGGCACCGAACACATGGACCTGCGGGTAGAGAGTTGGGCTCCAATTGGTGCAGGCATTGCTACCCAACCCACCCTCCAAAGTGCAGCCGAAAAGCCAGCCGCCAGCCACTCAGAGATTGAAACCGGGAATAGGCCTCAAATGCAGCTGCAGTATTGTTGGAATATCGCAACATCTGACAAGTATCCCGCTGTGGAAACACGTTGCCTATCATTTGTGGGCTTTAAAGGTTGCAATTCACGGTCAGCGACAACGACTGGGACATGGCATGGAGAAATAAGGAGCCACAGGAGTAAGGATGCCCAACGTCCCGAGACAGTTGGGCGAGACCGAATATTGCAACCGCAACGGAATAGAGGCACAGCTTTCCTTGCGAATGGTGACGAAGAGCTGAGTAGAGCTACGACCAGCTCCATCTATCTACGTGTCGCTTAGAGTTGAGGAGCGATAGTGAATCTGCACGTATCGGGAGTATTGAATACTTGACGAGAGATATAAAGCAGCAGTGTGAGGTGTATGATGAGCTGAGGGCGATGGCACAGATTGTGGCCGCTCATTCTTCTCGTCCACTCTCGTTCTTCTGTCACTTCGACAAGGTAGCCTCTTTATTACAGATCACGGCACTTCCCTGGAAAAGGAAAACAAAACCCCAAGTTGGAAAGCAAGACGTCATAGTACCCCCATCATTATTTCTTTTTGCGTCTACAATTTACCTCACGGCACTACAGTACTAGTCTCGCCAACAAGCGCTGATCTCTTGAAAGAAAACAAAGTTTGATGTCGCCTATTCGAGTTTCGTACGAGGTATCTCAGCTCCGCTTGAGGGCGATCGTAACTTAGAGACGGCGTACCGCCATCATTATCCTACCACAGGCGGAGAAGAAGGCTCGAGTGGTCGTTGGGCATCGTCAAAACAAGGGATAGCCTTGTACGCGAGAAACAGAGCGATATTGGAAGTGTCATCTGCCGCGCATGCTATTGATATCTGCAACTTGTTTGTTTACCAACAGCTGTCCCCAAAGGACCCAGACATTCTGCGTTGCCAGCACAGACAAGGTCGTGATCCGTTTCGATCTTTGATCCGGACCGCGACGGGTTCGATCTTAATAAACGACAGGTTGAATCGTTTTTACATGTTCAATTTTCGAGAATTGATATTTCAATCAAAGTACCCCATAACTGACGCAATTTCGCTATCTTTGGAACAAACAAGGGACAAGCCACGTTGCGACCCGGACGACGAGACATCTGCACTTCCTTAATGGGATAAGACAGGAAAAGTGGCTTACAGCGCACCTGTCACACCACACGAGGGGTACATCACGGTGCAAAACCTCAGTTGACGGGATAGATGCTAAGTCCTAGGTACGGGACTTTGAACAGTTTCGCAGAAAATCGAACAAGCCTTGTCGCGGGTTTTAAAAGTTAATTGACAACAAGCGGCGTTCGCCGTGACCGCCACCGCAATCATTGATCATTCAGCATACGGTAGGCTGCGCTGTGACTCGCCAGCCGGAAACCGCTTGGTCGCAGAGTCACAAGAAAGTCGAGAGCAGAATCTGGGAGAGGGATTGAAACCCAGAGCTTCTCAACCGACAACCAGAAGGTTTAGCCCAGCCTCTCGCGGTGCCCAAGTGTCGCCAGTCACCGCTAAAGTCAAAGCCCAACCTCGAGACCAAGACCCAGGCGGGCAAGGCAGAGGACGCGCTGTAGAGCAAGCTCTGCAAACCCAGGACGTGCCAACCGCATCTGGCTTCGGTAACGTCCAACGGTCCACCAAAATAGGTCGCCACTGGACGCAGGGTTGTTGGCAGCACGGAACAGACAAGGACCAGGCTAGCCAGGATCAGGATCAATATCAGGGCACCCACGCACGAGGCCAGCGCCAGTTGCAGATCCCGCAGCCTGGTGTTGGGCTCGGTCAAGGAGGGAGACAAGCGTCCGGCACGGATAGTCCCAGGGAAGAATCAGTCATCACGTTGACAGCCCAGCCTGAAGAGGGAAACTCCTCATCAATAGACGAGGTTTTAGCAGAGTCTGCAGCTTGTCTCGAGCAGCCGGGAGACCCCAGCTTATACTATCTTGGCTTACTGCAAAACCAGAACCAGCTCCACCACAAAAACCACAACGCCCAACAGTATCATGGTTTTGTGGGCGACGACCCATCAATATCAACAAGTCATCAGCAACCTCAACCTTCCGGGTTTGGTTATCAGCATCAGCGGAACCAACCTCCTGCATGCTCATCGCCACCATTCTCATTTTCTTTCCCCCCTCCAGCACCTCCATCATCAGCACCAGCAACATCTGTCTTTGGACTGGCCCCTCCTCCTCCTCTGCCTTCTCCTGCATCTCCACCAAGACCACCGCCGAGGCGACGCTTCCAGCCAACTACGTCTCGCCGTCAGCAAAACCTGTCCCACTGCCGGTCAAATTCCAATCTGAGCTCGAGCTCCAGTGTCAGCACTGGTGCCAGCAGACGTCTTCTGGCCTCTCGGTCTCCTGCAAGTCACTCTGCCAGTGGGAAATCCCCTCGTCAGCGCCTAGCATCAGCACCACCATTACCACAGCCAATAGACAGTGCAGACCCACAGGATACGCCCACCGCCCACCACCGCCATTCGCCTTTTCTTCCTCCTCATCCTCACCTGCCCGCTTCTTCTCTTTCTGCCTGTTCTACCCTCTCAGCTCCCTCCACGTCGTCTCCCTCTTCCTCCATTTCCGGCTCTATCTCCTCTTCTCCCGCACTTCTGTCGACCTTCTCTTCCATCTCTTCTTCTTCCTCATCTCATCTTACCACTTCGTCGACCATATCCTCCCCACACATCAATAACATGTCGAGATCATCCCGGAACGCTGCCCCTACCACGTCAGGTACGGGACGACAAAACGAATACTTCGTCCCTCGCGATGGCATCGACCGTGAAGTCATCTCCGCAGACATCTGCCGCTATCTGGGAAACGATGCCCTCGTGCGTCCCGGTCACTACGAGGTACGCCATCTACCTTGATGAACCCCACTATCGCGATGAAACAAATGACTCACATCTCATGACGACAGAACCCTCAGACAGGCCAAGCCGTGCAAGGCTACTACATCACCGCTTACAGGAATCTTACCACTGTGAGTTTCTTTCTCAGCGTCAATACCTGCTCATCAGATACTAATGATACGCCAGGCTATGATTGAGGATCTAAAAGCAGACTCTGCTCGATGGGATAGTGAAAGGCGTGCACAGACGTCGCGCAATACCTCTGGAGGTACTATTGCCTCGAGAAACGTTGGCGTACCGCCGAGACACTCATCTAACTCACCTGTAGTGCAATACCGCTACTCGGAGACGCACCAGTCGCGTCAGCACCACGGTCCTACCGAGGGCCCTTATCAGACCGACCCATACGCTCGTGACCCTGGCTTTGATGGTCCCAGATACCCAGGAACGGGTGCTCCCGGTTACACTGGAGCAGCTGGCTCATACGGCCAGTCCTACGGTGCCTCAAGTAGTGGTGCGTTTGCCGGTTATGCCCAAACCCAGCAATCTCCTCCCCCAGCGGATACAAGGTTCACCTCTACTACCGCGGCCACCATGGATCCATCCTACCAGGCTTCCCAGAGCCCCTACGTGGCCGTTGGAACAAACCAGCGCCCTAGAGGCGGATACGACCCTTACGCTAACCAGATGGCCACATCATCAGCTGCTGTACAGCAGGCCTATGCCACTGCTGCTCCCACGCAACAAGGCTATACAGCCACTGCTTACCCATATTCAGGTCAGGCTCCTCCTGCGGGCTACGCGATGCAGCCCCAGGATCCCTTCTACGGTCGTGGTGCGTATAGCGGAGGCAACACTCGCGCGGCGGGTTTCCACATGGTCGAATTACTAACACTCAAGGTCTAGCAGGTCAATCAACAGCACAAGGATATACCCAGGCCACACAGTATGAAGAAACCCCCCGTACTCGCGCTTCCGCGACACCAACAAATACTCAAACAAATCCCAGTGGTACCTCCAGCAGCCGACGTAGTGAGCGAGAGAGCGACAGGCACAGCACAGACCGACACCACCGATCAAGCCGCCGGTAAAAGGTGTGTTTCCCGGAGGACTGAGGCCGGATCTTTGTGCCCTTCCCTTTCCTGCCTGAACTTGACGAGGCAATCCGACCTCCTCGCGAGTGTGATGATTTCTGCATAATGACCGGGTTACATGGAGTACGGCTTATTTTCCTTGGATCGACCATTTCATCCTTTTCTGTTTCTTCCGGATATGATCCCCTTCAGAGGTTTCCGGTTTCTTTTCTCTGGCTGGTGCCGCCACCGAGTTGCAAGTTTGCATCTCAATAGGAACTTCCTACTGGAAAGGTATCAAATTCCATCCTCTGGACGCTGATTCCGTTTTCTACGAACCTGGATCTCCCTTGGAGTCGATAATACCCCTGGACGTACCGTGCCAACTGTTATTGCTACCGATGATGCCCTGGATACACGAACTGGACCTTACGAGACGCATACCTGGGTGTCTTTTTTCTTTACTCTTTTTATGACGACATTGCATTGTGGATGGGCCTTTCCTGAATTGACGACCTCATCGACTACACACCACTATTTGCCTTACGGATGAGATTATGCTGCATACGTTTTACAATGGGACACGGCGCTGAGCTGGGAAAAGGAAGGGGAGCCATCCCTTACCAGGTGGATCTGGGGTGGTATTTCGATGTCATGACCTTGCTGTCCGGACGCACCCTCAGGGGGAGTATTCTGTTTTCCGTTCTTACCTGGATCTGGCTGGTTCTTGCTCTCGACTCCAATGTCTTTAGCTCCCGGATTCTTCGGTGTTCAGCATCGTGGAGACTCGGTGTTTATCGGAATAGTAATTGGCAGAGGCCGGCATCCGGACAGCAAGGTGAGTTCGATTGAGCTTGTATATATTAGCCAACCCTTTTGAAAGGAATTTCTGCTTCCCTATCTTCCCCATCTCTCCCCGTTTCCTTCCACATAGGGACTTTCCATGGATATTTGTCTTGATATGAATCGCAAAGACACTGACTCGCCAGACTTGACTCAAGCAGCTAGGTGCACAAATGAATTCCCTGGACTCAGATACCTCATACCTCTTACTGGACTTCCTGGACATCTTGGACTCTGATCAACCACCTGGCAAATACCTTCCCGCTTGACCAAGGAATGGACCCACTCCCTGAGGATGTTTGCTTTTGCCTGGATCTCTTCCTACTCAAGCAATGCTTTGCTTTGGATCCTATGACCTGGACAACTTACCTCAGCCGAGGTTTGCTCATTCGTCACTGACGATATCGGTACTCATTTGCGTCTGCAATGGGTTGCCTGGGACACAAAGAAACAAAACAAGTATCTAAGCATACCATGCCAAAGGAGCCAAGGTAACATGCAAACAAGGTGATTCAATGACTACGAATCTGGATTCAATCTCGTTTCACATCACTGGATCGCAACTTGCTTCATTACTGTCTGCGACATAGGTCGCTTGTTGCCGTGGATTCTACTGAATCCATTCCTGTTTGCATCGCGGGCCGACTTCTTGAGTAACCTTTGGGAAGAGTCAACTTGCTCAAGCCTGGATATTTGCTACACCCTGCTGAACACATAGCAATTGTGGAAGTCGACAATTTAGAGCAACCTGGCGTGTGGATACCTTGATCCTGGACTCGCTACGTTGTATATGGAGTCAGTTATCGGAACGATATTTCGAGCTTTCAATCAAGCACAATGTGACTTCCGGAGCTGTACATGCATATCTCACGACATTACTGGATTTTGATCAAAACTGGATAACCGGATCTTTTTTTATGCGAATGATTGTGTGTTTGGTACTATGAGAAGAAGCCTACTTGGTAGCATGGATGGCGCAGCAGGAGGATGAATTGAGGGTTTAGACGGATTGGCTCTATGATTTACTTTTTTGTTCTTTTTCTAAACCTGGATCCCATGGACGCATCTCGTTTGAACGTTCTGTTATTTTGCGTCTGTCTCATATCCTATGGTTGTTGAATCTTGATGGTGCCTTGGGACAGGTACAGGGAGTTTATGAGTCTTGTTTCTTATTCGCTTGGGGCGGAATGCTTGGGAGAGTTGAATCTCATGATTTATTATTGTTGCAAAAGTATGTTGAATGAATACAAGAGTTGGCCACACCTTACGTTCCTGTTTGCCGTACGTACAAATCATGATTTCCCTCAAGCGAAAGTACACGTCAAATTTCCAGCATTTGTTAAGCAATAAACACATTTCTTTGCTGCCTCAAATATTTGCAACAGGGTCGGTGCATCTGGCATTCATCACTCACGGTCCAAAGCCGGGCGGCTCCTTCGTCGATAGGGATGATACGAGTAGAGGCGTTGGTGAGTGCAGTGAGATGTGTGATGATGTCTTGGAGGTTGATGGGCTCGAGAGGTAGGCTCCGACGGAAGCGGCTGGAGGAGGCCGTCCCCAAGCAGTGTGTCGATTACAGAGAGGACCCAAAGCTCGCAGCGGCCAGGTCTGCCAGGAGCGTTGGCAGGCCCGTAAGGATCGAATGGTCTTGGGTGACTCTTGATCATAGCGCACGCATTGTCGAGTTCTTGGGACGCAATCGAGCCAACGCATCTGCTATCATGAATGGTGCCAACCTGACCTAGAGTCTCGACGATATCCGAGACCAGAGTCATGGCAGGCTGCGTATGTTCAGGGCTTGAAGATTCCAGAACATGATAGAGATAGCCTGCCGGTCGCGGAGAGCTTGTTGGAATGAAGATCTTGTGAGTGCCAGGGGAGTGTTGGATATGAAAAACCTGATAGCGAGCTGGCTCAGGGGTTTGAGCTGGCGGATTGGCGACAGGATCAGGGCTGGAAGCCTGGGCAGAGTCGGAGCTGATTGGAAAGATCATTGTGACAAGATAAGGATTGGCGTTAGGGTGGGTTTAGAATGTCTGGGCAGGCACGGGACTAAGAAGGTCTTGTGAGTCTTTGCCCTGGCAAGTTGGCAGGAGATCGCCTCTCGATATATAGGCTTATGTATCTTTATCAATTCTTGAGCAACAGCACCAAAATTGGCCGTGGAAGCACGGCAGAGAGCTAGTTGACCAAACCCTGTTAGTGTCGTCTGGAGGCTGTACGAACCCGTGCGTGTCGTATCATCAGGGTGCTGCGAGAACCGGGCGGCTCAGTTTCGAAGGCTGCGGGTGTCCGCAAGCCAGGCCACAGTAACCATGATGATCCGAGTTGGCCGTTTGTGGTGTTGATGCGGGACGTGGTCGATCACATTGTATATCTCAGAGGATATAGGCCGAAAATGCTGTCTGGGCCAACGAAAAGTGTGTGGGTTTGTCCGAAAGGTAAGCCCACGGCATCGGGCGGGCAGTTGTGTAAGTTGTGTGATGAAGTCCAAGCCTATTGCTCGTCCCGAGGTTCAATAGAAGCCAGAGCTCTGTGTCAGGACAGGAATCCAAGCACCTGCCCGTACCATGGAAGCCCTGGTCGAGTCGAGTTACGCATATGCTGCAGGCAAAGCTCATAATAGATACTCGCATATCGAGCTAGCATGCTTGGAATGGAGACAAGAGAGATTCTGCACTAGATACAGGATCAAGCTGACGTGCGCTGGAGGACAAGTGCAACCGCATGACAGAGCGGAGCGTTCAACATATCTAGCCTTGTATGGAAACTCGGCCGCCCTATGCAATGAAGAGATAGTTCGCGGTGAGGTCGCTTGACGCGATGGCGTCAAGGTCAGCATGATACGCAACGGCACGGTACGGTGTGGGAAGGCGAGTCGGGTAGCTGCGCAAGCTCAAACTGAACACAAGCCTGGCTTGTGGTGAGTGTTTGTTGTGCTACGAGAGTTGGAAAGAGAACAGCCCACATTCTTGATGCTCTCATTTCTTGGATCTATCTTGCTGAGGTATTGACAAGATTCACACGGACTCAAGGATAGGTAGTCACTAGCCCTTCATTCCTAATTCAGTCATCTAGACCATGGTTCCAGAAAGTGATCGATGTATTGTGCTTATGAGAATGGACAATTAGCAGATGAGTGAAACTTCTTCTTAGAGGACAACCTACTACCCAAAAGCGATCACATCGTTCAGGAATCCGACAAAACCATAGTATTTCTTTGCTTGGGCTTTTGCGATTGGTCGTCTTCAAATGGGAGTGTTCGGGCGTCAAACACTGCGCTTGATGAGCTGGCTGGCTTCGAACGCAGTGTTAGTAGGTATTATGTGTTCGACTCCATTTGACTAGTGGGATATTACTTACTTGCTGGCGGTCACAGTTTGAGGATTGTGGAATGGGTGAGTGTTTAGGAAGGTATTTTATGCCGTATCCCGTGGGTCTTGTTGCTCAACATTGTGATCGAATAGTCCTTTTGCATTGCAATTTAGAGGCTTGAATGAGGCGGCAAATGAGACGAGTTGCAAGGGTTTGTCTCTTGGTGGACAGGTTATGAAGCTGTGGAGATGGCAGAGGTAAGACGATGAGATGGATGGGTCGTGGCAGGAGAAAACAGCCCGTCGGGCAGAGACCTACTGGTACCTACCTGGTAGGAGGTACCTTACCTGAGGTGGGGGCCAAGGAACTTACCTAGAGGTACCTACCTTCCACGGCCTTGGAAAGGTTGACTGCAGGTAAATGTCTTACAGAAAGCGCGAATTTAATGCAATAACCTTCCAGTGTCATGGCCGACTGCATCTCGTAGGAAGGAGTCATCCTTGGTGAAACTGCAACTACCCGTCATGATCTCCGCGTGACTAGAAACCCCCGTATCCACACCTGCCACTTCCAAGGTATCCGGAGAAACTCGGTCAAGATATCAGAAAACGGAAGGAGCTTGACGATGAAAGAAGGACCATGGATCTAGTTGTCATGGAATTGAAAGCGGATGGGCCCTGGATGAAAAACATCATCGAGGTAGGTAGGTAAAGGAGTGGAGGCAGTAAGGTAGTCGTGCTGGGAGGTGTAGTCATAAGGAGATACCTATCTATCTATCATTCTGTATAAACCAACCAATTTGGTCATCAATATTGCCCCCATTGTTTAACAAGATGAAGGAAAGGCTTCCCGGATGAAATCGTTACAGAAGTAAGATGAGAGACAACCTTGACATCAAGACTTGAATTCCATACCAATAATCTTCTTGATACCGTTTCTCTTGGTGAGCAATCCAATTATACCCAGTTTCGACTCTTCTCTCTTCCAACCTTCTTGCATCGGCAGTCTCTCTTCCTGCAAAAAGGCCCTGGCATAGTTACATGGCACTCTATCACCACTTCCAATGACGTTGAGGATCAGGGCAATCTCCGCACACGCAAGATCGTGTTCGAAAGAGCCATATTGAAGACCCGGGTTATCCTCTCTCTGTCTGGCGATGCGCGTCTTGCGAAACTCTGCGAGGTCATTCGCAGTAAGAGTCTGCCCGTCCTTTGAACTTGCCAAGAGATCTTCGACAAGGTCTTTCTGAAGAGTGATGTTATCACCTTGTTGATGATCCCGGCGGGTTAAAGATATATCGTGCTCAACTGTGTTGGGTAACCCGAGCTGGTCCAAGTTCAAAACCCTGTGACCCTCAGAGTCCAGCTGACCCGGCTTGCGCATACCAAATCGACCCAACAGAGACCAAGGGTCCCTGATCGTTTGCAAAATACTTTGCAAAAGAGACTTCTTTACGACTGGGTCATCGTGAAATTTTGAAGGCGCGCGTTCTTGAAAGATGGGATTGGCAAAGGCAGCAGCGAGAGGCTTGGAAAGGCCAACTGCGTCCATGCCAGCGAGAACTTCTTCAACTCGAACATTTCGGCCGTCGCGGGGAAGATAGCCATGATTCGCGAGAGAGTTTATCATCGGGCAGGGGCCGCGTATGTCGTTTGGACCCGAAGGTGCATATGTCCCTTTTGCGAGCGGTTCTGAAGCTGAAGCCATATTGAACACCAGTTATACGATGATTAGGACAGTATGAATGTGAATACAAGACCTATTACGAGCATGTGATAGAAAGAGGGGAAACAATATTCAGTTATACTGTGTACCATGTCTTGCTTCCCTCCTGACCTTCAGCTTATGCTCGTCGAGCTATTAGCCACTGATGTAACAGCTGACAGACACTATTGTCGCTAACGACTTCAGCCAGCCTCATTCTCATGGTCACCGGCGGCTTTAAAGCATAAGCAGCTAAAAAAGAGCTCTCTTTGGCTGGGTACCGTAGCATTCATGCGCTTTGACTGCGGCATCATCCATAGCAAACTCAATTAAGACACCCAATAAATAGCTGCCAACACTAGAGTGCAGGGGCATTCTTCCCTCCAAATTGGACACCGGTGTAGCCAGACTGTGAGAATTCACCACGATAATTCAGTAGGATACCTGGTATGTCGTATTCCTCGCGTGGTTTTGAATTGCGGTGAGTAGGTAGGTTGGTAACACCATGCAAATATCCGAATAAATTGGATATCAGATCATGCGACAACGAACAAGAGATGACTTGACCAGGTTCGACATACAAACACAAATATTCATGGGCTCCTCAGTCTGAAACATGGCTTGCAGGTCAAGAAGTGCCAGGGATTGAGATGCAGAGCAAGGTTTGTCTGCTTGCTTGCTTGCTCTGACTCAGTTGCTCTAATGGGAGGTTGTCACATCTGCGTGCTGCAGACGCAAACGAGCGAGCATACACAACAAATTTCCGGGTGCATACGCAAAGAAGAAACAAATCCGAAAATCTCTTGCTTATTTGGTGGAATCACAGTGTGTTTTATTGCCTGTAATGAATGACTTGTCAAGTTTAATGCTCAGTCACTTAGAACAACATCACTTACAGAGAGAATTTCCAGATTTTTCCTTACACGAATCGTTTGCGTCTTGATACATATCAGTTGCTGTTGCAAAGCACCGTATGTGTCAGAACAAATCAAATTACCACCCAAGATTCCCTTATGGCAAAGAAGACACAAATCACACCGTTGTCATTAGGATATGACTATAAATTCAGCACTCTCCTCCATTCCAACCTATTCCTCACTAAACAAACCATCAGTTCTCTCTCTCTACCTTATATATATAGTGAAGACCAATAGTGTGCAACTCAGAGCTGAGAGGGAGGGCCAAAGAATCAGTTCCAGACCAATACAAGCTTTTGCCTGATGTTGCTCGATGACTATCACTATGGTCTCCAACCATTTCTTTTCATCTGTTTTGGCTATCTGAGTTATCGTATCATAGAATAAATCAAAGAGATATGCTGCTGATGAAACGACTGGCTCTGCTCCGAACATTTTGATGAAGAAGCGATACTTGTGAGTCTCTTAGTAGGCAATGCTCCTGCTGTAATGATACATCAACGTCTCTAATAGAGATGCTAAATTCAATGGTCCTTTTCAGGGCTGCATGGATAAAGACAACGATTCATCTTCTGTTTCAAAGCATATAAAGAGATACTACAAGGGTCAAAAACTGCCATAGCCAGCACAAGGACTTGGTCTACGGAAAGAAAGTCAAAACATTCTATTTGTGCAACGGAATGTGCAGAAGCTAAGCCTTTTGTACACATCAACCAGCATCAGATCAAGCAGAACAGGGAAGAAAACCCAGTCGCCGCCAAATACCTCGGGACTTTTTGGCTTTCAGGTAGTTGGGTCTGTGTCACCCTACCAATCTACCAGGCAGCCAATATCAGCCGTCTTTATGAAGGGGTCTATGGCGGCGGTGCCGTTGATTCAAGTTAATGAAATATATAAAAGTGAACGATACATCATTGACTCGGTACCTCATGTTGTCCATGTTCTGATTGTTCAGGCTGTTGTTCGATTTTTGTATTCACCCTGCCACCCACTGCTCACCAAGCTTCCAGTGTCAATTAATGTTCCCATTCAACAATCCGACAGAACATTCTCGTTCTCAAGGTTGTTGGAACAGCAATCTTTACATAATCTCCTTCTTACACACCTACAGACTGAACCTTGACCTGTCACCACAGCTCGGGCAAGATGAGTGATATGATCAGAACCAAGCGCTGCATGCTTTGCGGCCTGCAGGTCAACGCGACCGGCCCAGGTATGTTGTTCCTCTTTCAACTTTGAAGCCGGAACTAATACTGATATCTATAGAATTGCACGAAGACTGCGGACGCATTGGTTTAGGCCACTTACAGCGTGCCATGCAGAGAATCCACCAGTTCAACTTTGAGCCCCCAGCAGGACAGGAGGAGCACACGAGGGTCACGAGATGGGCCGAGACAATGATTTCTGAAGGGCTGTCGCTTTATTTCGCTCAGGGCGAAACAAAGGCTGAGCAGGAACTCAGCAGGACGTCGGAAGTCCTGCGAGGCATTGGCCAATACTTGGTCTCACACTACATAGTGAGAGAGAACGAGTCTATGCTTCGCAGGGTTTCCCGTACGACATTTGTTCTGAAGCGCAAAGTCAATGTCACATTCTCTTTGTTCCAAGGACGGAAGTACGTTGCGTCTGTGTCGAACGGTCAGGAGCAGCAGCCAGGCAAAACATCCGAGCTGTTTACACTTGATCCTGGGGAAACGGCGCATGTCGTCCACATTGCCGAGAACCATCTCGGTGTCGTTAACTTGGTAGTTGCTGACTTAGACCATGTCTTTCAAGCTGACCAAGTTGCTGGAATATGGTGGAGAGCCATCTACATCCCATGTGGAAGATGCTTAATCATGGCAACTCACGATGTAAGTTTATGACTCAAGATAGGAACCCAGTGATCTAATATCCAAACAGGGGATCAAACTTAGAAACCTGTCTCCAGTAAGCCCTTGCACGTTCTGTACATCACTGCAGGGGCCTAGTTATCATCAGATTGCATGGCCCTTCCCAACCCACCACATCGCGATCCGCTGGATTGGAGAACCACGCTCATATCCGGCGCGAATGGCACCTGTCATCTTGAAAGGGTCTTGTAGCGGTATATCTACTTATTGGGAACACACAATCCTGGCAATTCACAGTCATGATATTGACGAGAAGTCCCCGGCCTCTTACTCTCGGACAGGCGATGATGCGGTGTGGATTTACACGCCCCTCGACGACAACGAGACAATTACGGAGATATGGTGGGGTTTCATTGACGCCAATGGCGATGCGATGGGTGTAAGTATCTCATATCGTTTCATGTTACGAAGTGACTGACAGACTATAGCTTCGGACCAACAAAGGCCGAGAGGTATTCCTAGGCTTCGTAGGTGCAATCCCAGACCTTGATTGGGAACTAGCATCTACGCCAGCGATGAATAACTGCAGGTTTTACTACGACTCTATGTCATCTACGTGTATTGGTGGCCTAGCATTCGAGGATCCCAGTCCCGTTACTCAAGGCGTCCAGCCCTTTGACCCTACCACTATTGTGCCACCCATGCCAGACTTTCGGTATTGTGTCGAGCTCTTCTTCTTTTCGTCAGCCAACCTAAAGGGTCTCTCCGAAATCACAGTCTGCAAAGTTCCAGACAAGCGTGGGATCTCTGGTCTCCTTCTCGCATATACCAACGGCCACAAAGAGGCTCTTGGTGAAGTACGACTGAACTCTCTTGAACCTCCTATCGATGTTGGTAAACAGGACCGGATCTGGCTACGCTTTGAGTATGATCCCACAGGAATCATTGATGAACATCCTCGTCTTGTCGAGATTTCCTTCTCCCGGATTGAACCAATTATACGCGATGGAACAGATCCTACAATTGCTGGCATCAACTGTCTCGAGGTTCTCTTCACAGATGAACTCCACTGGTGGTGGTCACCCCTACAGTGTCAGGTATTCTACAACGGTCAGGGCAGCTTACAACCACGAGATGCGGATAGATGGCTTCTATTCGACAACTAAATAGCCAAGCCCTTCCACTACCAGGAACTGTCAAAATCGACAGACATGGCCCAACGAAACACTCAGACCTATCAAGGCAAGTGGACTAGCATCTAATACTTCTACCTACTTTCTTTGCCTCAAACTTGCCGCCCAATCGCCATTTGCAGTCTTCCGCCCACTGCATCACTTCATGAAGACAGCTATCGCCGCACACCACATGATGTCATTTTCTACTTCCAGTCTTACTACAGGAATTCATCCGTCCATGTCAACGTTACTTAGACATCCTCAGACCGGGCTTGGAACTATTTTGATACCAAACAGGCTATTTGCAAACTCGTTACTATCGTGGTGCTGCAAGCCGATTCCAAAGAGGACTCGCTATAGACAGAAACAGGAAGTCATCTCAGTTGATTATCACCAGAATTTGGAGGCAGTAGCAGTACAGTAGTTCAACACTCTTCTATCGAGTAGGAGGAAGATAGATGCGGTATACTCTTGTCTTAGACCAAGAAGAACCCAACAGGGATGATTCGTTACTACCAGCCTTGACTACGTAATTTATTTCAATGTTTTTACATACGGCGCATTCAACCAAGCAACCATCGCCGCATGATTGTTACGCAAGAGAAAAGGGCTGCCTCCATCCTATCAAGTTAGATGCTATAAGTACCTATAGAAAGGAGTCTGCAGGAACCCGAGTCAAAAACCCGCGCTCTCCTTTGTCTTTCGTCAGTAATATATGTTTCTTTGGACTTCATCACGTTATTATATGCATCTTTCTTGTATATATGCTGCCCACGATACGACTTATCATGTGGAGATAGTATACAAGAACCGTGGGATCGCTTCAATTATATAGCATCTTATACATCAGGTCACGACAACTGCGATGGCTCCAGCCTGCAGGTAGACCTGGCCGAATGATTTCGCTACAGATCAACCAGTCAGGCATGGTTGGGATCACGACTTTCTGGGTTGTAACTCTCATCAGAGCATATATCCATGCACTCGAAAAAGGTTATGTCGGCACAGAAATTCGCGATCCAAACGCAGCCAGTGTCCTCACCTCATTTGAGAACGGGAAGAATGTGTCGGAAGTCTGGGTTGGCATCACCCAGCACATTGTCGGCGGTCTTGGGGTGAGCTCTATTCAACCATATCTGATACCCACAGTAGAGCTAATAGGAACAGGTCCGTACAAGCAAAGGCAGAGAAATCTGCCATGCTCATGCTACTCGAATCCACGAGATGACATGGGTCCTGGCTGACCTACCTCGAGGTTCAGAAAGGACAACATACTACGGGAGCGATGCCCCAGTAGGCGCTGGTGCCCTTTCTTTTCGCAGTCCTTCCCAACGGGGTCTTTGAGTCAATTCGACCGACTGGCCACGATGCCTCCAATCCCCAGATTGAGGTTCTGCGTTGAGGACATCTTTGGTGGCTCTGTCAACCTGGCAGACGTTGTCGGGGTGACTTTCTGCCGATTGGAGCACAAGCTAGAGATTATTTCTAGGGTGCTTTACCAGGTGAAGAGCCTTGGGAGGATCTCAACCGGAGAGTCGTTTTGAGATTGCGAATTAATGGGCTTTGCAGGTGTTGTGGGAGGGGACTGTGGAGTGGTGGTTGTCACCACTTCAATGTCTTTTGATGTATGAGGGGGAGGGCCAGCCTCCAACCTCGAGATGCTACAGTGTGGCTCGAGCTCGCTGCCTAGCTCTCCCTGTGGAACTGCTTGGACATTATGCTATTGAGAGTAAAGATAGTGCTTCGAAGACATACGGGGGTTTGCAAAGTTTCTACGACTGTTCAGGTGACTTCCCGACGGCATGAATGAGGTTAATGCCAATGCAGCCAATCCGATGTCTCACAATGGCCTCTTCCTGGAACTATTGAGCCGCCATTAATTCATGCAACGGTGAAGAGTTGCCACAAATGAGTGTTAGAATATAGAGTAAATTCTACAGACTCGAATCATGTCATGCTTGATGTAGAGAAGTTTCTGCCCTTGAAATGAAGAAATGACGATCGTGACGTCTCAAAGGCCCGCTGAAGAACCGACAGATTTGGAGTTTCTGCATCTAAGCCAAAAGCGGTGAGAGAAATGGCGGGGCACTAGTGATTATGGTGTTGGACCCTGCAATTTGACTGGTTTTTTTTCCCTCTCTCTCTCTTTGATCTGTTTTGCCTACCTATTTTGGTTGTTTTGGTATGTTGTTTTGGGGGTTTTCTCCCTGTTGTTATGACGGTCCTTCTATCGTGGGGATGCTTGTCAGGTTATTACAGAGTATGCATACAGAGCCTGAGATAAGTGATTCTTTCAGATTCACGACTGTAGTATCAGTGACATGCCACCAAGTGCTAGTAATTTTACCTCAAGATATCCATAGGTTAGTACCTTGTTATCTCCTGGGAAAAGCGCTTGTTGGCCTTTCTCAAATGAGACACGCCTGACCCGACCCTACCTAAAACTAAAGGTGATCGCCCATTTTGCCATGGGTGACCTCGTGCATTTCTCGTGGCATACTCGTGCTGCCCTGCGAGGTGCTGTGGCTGTGACTGTGGATGGGTTCGGTGCCTATGGTACTTGACCCAATCGCCAAGTTTTGGTGCGTCGGGAGGTACCACAATCATTGGCTACCTGGAGTAATTGGATTGCCATTGACTCGGAGGCTTGTTTGGTAGCAGTGTGTTGAACGTGAGAACCCTTGCATTTGAGCTGCCACAATTGGCATTGCCTTGGTTGTTATGTTCTGGTGCATGCATGCATGGGTTCAGCTGCCTGTCATTGTGACTTTTTCTGTTTATTTTCAAGGGGTTTGACTTTGTGTAAGCAGTGAATGTGTCTCCCTTACATCAATGGCTCTTGCTGGGCAGTGAATGAGAGTCGTCCAATGATTGGGCTTTTATCTAAACCTTCCGTTGATCATCGCCTTGTCTATTCTCTTGATACTTTTGTCAGAGAAACGTTATGGCGAGAACGTTATAACATCAATCCTCGTTATTGTACCCGCCGAAGAAAAGAAAAAGAACCAAAGGAAAAAAAAATAAGAGACTGACCCACCTGCTACATACCAAAAAGTGTGCCCTCCTCCAGTTCGTTCGTTCGTTCGTTGACTGACTTCATTCGACTCCGTCCCCCGACGCCGTCTCCAGCTTTTGACGAAGGCTTCCGCCGCCGAGTGATCGAATTGTGTCCCACACACAAACCCGCACCGCGTACCGTAACTTGGCCTGGAGCCCTACCCGGCCCCAATCAGAACCCCCATTTCCCATCTTTTCGAGCCCCTGGACACTCGCACACACCTCACGGACGGCCCTGGTGGTACTTTCTGCCGACTAGGTAGGTACAACTTTTTGGGCCTCTGGCATCGTCCATCGGGACCTAATATTTCAGCTCTTTTTTTCCAAGGAAAAAGCACCAAGGGACCAAACAAAAAAAAACCTTGATCAACAAAAGTCGCTGTCGCATTCCCAAGGCGTCAACTTAATTCAGCACAGCATAGTACAGCAGCTCGCTCGACTATTGAGACCCCTTCTGCTTCACACCGTGGTCTCGTACGTAGTCGTTGGACTGTGGACTGTGGACTAAAGTTAGCTGGCCTGGCTGCTTTTTCTTGTCTCTAGATGCCCCGCCATCTGTCGCTCGCCATCCTTACTTATCCAGACCTGACAGATCCTGATTCCGCCTCTTTCGTCCGCCTTTCTTCCAACCTCACACTCCCATCCCCCTCGGCCTCGACGTCGACTTCTCTTCATATCCACCCTTCATCATGGATCCCGCCGCTGTGAGGTCCTTGCTCGCTACTAGCTTGGACCCTGATGCAGACAGTCGAAGGCGTGCTGAGCTTCAGTTGAAACAGGTGCGTCCTGCGTGTGTTTTTGTGTTTGCGTCTTTGGTCGAGGTGGTCGAGGGAACGGAACTCTTTTGTGTTTGGGTATTGGTAGAGACTCCTCCAGCCATTAGCTCTGCTCTGCTTTGCTCTGCTCTTTGATGCGATGGCTGGCTGGCTTCTCTTCCACCTACTTTGGGTTTCCTTCTCCGACGCCTCTTTGTCCAGCTGTGTCCCTTGCGCCAGCCTCCAATTCTAAAAGGAACCACAATGCTAATTTGTTCCCGTCTGCCTTTCTAGATTGAAGAACAGCCCGGATTTCTCGAATGTCTGCTCGATATTTTACAAGCCGAACAGGAGGCTAGCGTCCGCCTTTCGAGTATGTCTATCAACTCTCGTGCCCTCTATCCAGCCTGTTTGTGCGCTCCCTCATCAGTTCACTTCTGACCAACTTCCACTCCAGCCGTGATTTATGTCAAGAACCGTGTCAATCGCTCATGGTACAATAATGAGGGGTACTCTCCCGACCCCCCCACCGCTATAATCCCTGAAGAAGAGAAGGCTCGTGTACGAGACCGCCTTCTGCCCATTCTCGCTACGTCCGAAACCCTCGTCCGCCAGCAGCTCATTCCCGTCCTCCAACGGATCCTCCAATATGACTTCCCCGCCCGCTGGCCCAAGTTCATGGACTTCACCGTCGAGCTTCTAAACACGAATAACCCCGGTTCCGTTCTTGCTGGTCTGCAGTGTCTGCTCGCCATCTGCCGTGCGTTCCGCTATAAGTCGACCGACAGCGATGACCGACAACACTTTGACAAGATTGTGGAGGCAACATTCCCCCGCCTTCTCGCCATCTGCAACGAGTTGGTAAACCAAGAGAGTGATGAGGCTGGTGAGATGCTTCACTTGGCCCTCAAGGCCTACAAGCATGCGACATGGGTGCGCACTCCCCTGGACGTGATATATTTGCTTGTGAGCCACGTATTGACTTCGTTCGCAGTTGGAACTCTCGCCTTCACTACGACAACGTGACACCAACATCGCTTGGTGCACTGTTTTCCTACACACGGTTTCCAAGGCTTGCCCCGCCAATGCTATGCAGGGTGATCAACACGAACGTGAGAAGCATCACTGGTGGAAGGCTAAGAAGTGGGCTTTCTTCAATCTGAACCGCCTCTTCATTCGGTAGGACTGCTTGCACATGTTGAACGTCGGTGATTCTGGCTAACATGTAATTTGTAGACATGGCAACCCTGCCAGTCCTGGTAAGGGCGAAGACGCACTTGCTTTTGCCAAGGACTTCACCGCGAACATTGCCCCCGAGATCCTCAAGCACTACCTCCAAGAGATCGAGAAATGGGTTGCCAAAACCTCTTGGCTCAGCCGACCTTGCCTTTCCTATACTCTGGTCTTCCTCGACGAGTCCGTACGACCCAAGGAGATGTGGACACATCTTAAGCCTCATCTTACCAACCTTGTTACCCACTTCGTCTTCCCTGTCCTCTGCCTTACCGAGGAGGATGTCGAGCAGTTCGAGGATGAGCCCGACGAGTACCTTCACCGAAAGCTGAACTACTTCGAGGAAGCGTCTGCTCCTGATGTCGCCGCTACTAACTTCCTTGTCAATCTTACAAAGAACCGTCGCAAGGAGACTTTCGAGATTCTCAAGTTCGTCAACGCAGTTGTCACCGAGTACGAGCAGGCTGCGGATGATCAAAAGAACCATATTGCCAAGGAGGGTGCTCTGCGCATGATCGCTACCCTGGCACCGGTTATTCTGGGCAAGAAAAGCCCCATTGCTGATCAAGTTGAATACTTCCTCGTCCGTTATGTCTTCCCCGACTTCACCAGCCCACAGGGCTACCTCCGCGCTCGTGCTTGCGACACCATCGAGAAGTTCGAGCAGCTCAACTTCCAAGATCAGAACAACCTCCTTACTATCTACCGACACATCCTAGACTGCATGGCCGACCCCGCTCTCCCAGTCCGTGTCACGGCCGCTCTCGCTCTCCAGCCTCTTATCCGTCACGATGTCATTCGAACAAGCATGCAACAAAACATTCCCACGATTATGCAGCAGTTGCTCAAGCTTGCCAACGAGGCTGATATCGATGCGCTCGCCAATGTCATGGAGGACTTTGTGGAGGTCTTCGCCACTGAGCTCACTCCTTTTGCCGTAGCACTTAGTGAGCAGCTCCGAGACACTTATATGAGAATTGTGCGCGAGCTTCTCGAGAAGGAGAGCAAGGTTGGTGATGACGGCGAGCTCTACAACGAGTATGACGACAAGAGCATTACTGCTCTGGGTGTCCTGCAGACTATCGGAACTCTGATCCTCACACTCGAGAGCACCCCTGACGTCCTGCTCCACATTGAGGCTGTCCTTATGCCCGTCATCAAGGTTACCCTGGAGAACAAGCTTTACGATCTCTATAACGAAGTTTTCGAAATCATCGATAGCTGCACTTTCGCCGCCAAGTCTATCTCTCCCACTATGTGGCAGGCCTTTGAGTTGATTCACACTACCTTCAAGGCAGGTGCTGAGTACTACCTGGAGGATATGTTGCCTGCTCTGGATAACTTTGTCCAATTTGGTGCTCCCCAGCTCGCTCAGAAGCCCGAGTACACTCAGGCCCTTTACTCCATGGTCGCTGATATGTTCACCGACAGTATTCAGGGAGGTGTCGAGAGGATATGTGCTTGCAAATTGGCCGAGGCCATGATGCTTAGCTTGAAGGGCCAGATTGATAGCTGTGTCGAGGGTTTCATCAACATTGCCATGAGCATCCTCGCCAACCAAGATGTCAAGGTGAAGAGCTACCGCATACATCTCATGGAGATGGTTATAAACTCGATCCATTACAACCCACTTCTCACCCTTCAGGTTCTCGAGAACAAGGGCTGGACAAACCGATTCTTCAGTCTCTGGTTCGGCAGCATGACTTCTTTCACCCGTGTTCATGACAAGAAGCTTTGCATTGTTGCCATCTCAGCTCTTCTTAGTCTGAACCCTGAGCACGTGCCATCCAGTGTCTCAGTTGGCTGGCCAAGATTGCTTCAAGGCATTACTGAACTATTCCGCTCCCTCCCTGCCGCTCAGAAGAGTAAGTTTCATATCTTTTGTGCCATTGGGTTACAGCTAACAGATGACAGACCGCGATGAGGCTCTCCGTGACGACTTCCACCTCGAGTCCACTTATGACTATGGCGAGGAAGATGAGTGGGACGACGACGAAGCCAACTGGAACGCTGAGGAGGAAGAGGAGACAGGCGAGACTAACGAATCCAAGGACGAGAGCACTGCTTATCTTAACTTCTTGAACGAGGAGGTATGTATAATCTTGCGCAATCACTGGGGTATAATGCTAACGAAACCAAGGCCCAGAAGTTTAGCCGAGCGATTGATGATGTTGAGGAGGACGATCTTGGCGAGGACTCTGTTCTTCTTGAGTCACCACTTGACAAGATTGAGCCTTATCAATTATTCCGCGGCACTTTAATGAGTGAGCCAATCCTGTACTCATCGTTGGACATTGCTGACTTTGATAGAAATGCAACAAGAGCAACCCCAGTTCTACAGCAGCCTGGCTGGACACCTCACAGCTGATGATCAAAACGTGATTCAGTCGGTAATGGTCAAGGCTGATGAGATCGCGGCACAGCAAGTGCAGCAAGCCCAGCAAGCCCAGCTCCTCGCTCAACAACAGGCTGCTGCGATGGCGGCCAACCTCAGCGCCCCTAACGGCGGTGCCAGCTAAAGGATGGCTGTTGAAGGATATCGTACACGTATCACGAGTGACCTGAGTTATTGGAGTTGTTTCTGCCCCCATTTTGTTATATCCCTTTCTTCATTCATGTCAGGGCAGGAGTAAAGATTCCCCGGAGACGAAGAAATGTGTTGAGCCCATACCAAAAGAAAGAGATTTAGAACGTGCAAACAACGATGAGCCCACCTACTGGAGGACCCCCTTCCAAAGAGTGCCGTGGGTATGATTGGTATAGGGGAGCTGGATTGCGAAGCATTTTATGAGGGTGTCTTTTTGGCTGGAAATTTGTGCTGAGGAGAAATGAGAAAATGAGCCGACGACGACGAGACTGCGGATGCAGCGAGCAAGAGGTCCATTTGATTTGAGAGTGCAAGCTGAGATAGGACGAAGATGACAGTCACGAGACAAAAAGGAGAGGTGATCTCTTGAGCTGAGCAGTCACAGTTTAAAGGTAAACAAACAAACAAGTAAATACAATCGATAGTTCCATCTTTGGTTCGAAGCCATCGTTTATCCTCACTCTGTCACATGATCACATAGACAGCTATCCTCAGATGCGCTGAAGGAGTACGTATGCTTCTCCCCCATTGGTACAACGCAGAAACTTGGCCTGTAACCGCAATTAGAGATGATAGAAAAGGGAGAAATAACTATCAGTCTCGTAATGTTGAATATGACAGAAAAGAATAGGCTGGTCTTGTACTATTGGTGAAACAAGTAGGTTCGTCGAACTTCTCCAAAGACTTGAGTCAGTCTGTCATTTCCCGTGGGCAGTTAAGAATAAGGGCCTACCTTCTCTCCTTAGGTATATTGGTCGGTACTTTTCTCTTTGGCCGAGCCATTCACAGCAATGCCCTCTCTTTGATACTCTCTTCAATACTCTGTTATGCAAGGTGATCGTGGTGGAACCGAAGATGGATTTCCTAGCCTGTCATACCGCCAGTGCGGTTGAAACCTCGGGGAGAGATGTGAATGGAAAGCTCGAGTCTTGTACTCATGTAGAGGGAGCTTCTGGCGATGAACTTGTGTTTGTCATTGGGATCATTTCGGATGAGTCGCACGTAGGCGAGGCTAAGGGTTACGCCGGAGGAGACATCTATAGTGAGGTCGGTAACTGAAGTTAGGAGGGACATATTATTTCTTCAGGCAGTGAATCATTGGAAGGAATTAGTCTATATTTTCGACGAACAACCCTCGATATTGCGTGGGGTTTGCGCACAGTCTCTCAAAGATTGGTTTGAAGTCATCATAAGTCTTGTACTTGGCATTGAAATCTCGGCAGTATATTCAACGAGTTGCAGCCGTTTTCTCAAGGCCTACTGACATACCACGACCTGTAAAGTTGCAGATCAGTTCTGGTATTATTATTTGTGGCAATACGGTTGTGCCATCTTTGGCCTAGGAATCAACCGGCTCACAAGATAGGTTTCGATGACTGGGTTCTGCACTTGTGAGTATTTAAAGCTGGGCAAAAACGAATGTTCAATCTTGACGAAGTTTTCTTCTGTTTACGTCACAACATCCTTTTTATTTTCTAGCCGCCCGCTCAGCTGCATCCAGGGCTGTCTTGATAACTTCGTCCAAGAATCTCTCATTCTCGATCCCAACACTGATTCGTACCAAATGCTCAACAACGCCATACCTCTCAGCCCATTCGAGCTCGTGGTAATGCGCGAAGAGCGTATATGCACAACCTAGAGTGAAGTTGGTCCCTAGACTCGGCCCTTTCGCCACATCAAGAGCATCGTGGAACGCGATGGCAGCTGCAGGGGTGTTGAAACGAATGGACAACAGATATCCATACCCCTTTCCTGGGCGTTTGTATTTCTCGTAGAGTTGTTGTGTCTGGCTTCCCTTGGGGTAGTAAACTTGCCCAACTGAACTATGCTTGCGAAGTGTATCCGCGAGATGTTCTGCATTTTGACTCGCCTCCATGACTCGTTCTTCAAAATCGGTGCTGTTTTTCTCCATAACAATCATATCCAGCGGGAAGTAGGTGTTGACATAACGATCCTTCAATCGTCTCTTCATATCCCAATGGCCTCTTCCCTTTGGGTTCAGGGTCACGCTCCCTCCCATGACGTTGCAGCCCCCGCTAAACATCTTTGTCAAGCTTGTGCATACAACATCGCAATGTGAGATAACATCGACGTTTACCGATGTACCGACTGTGTCATCAACCACGAACAAGAAGCAGAATTCATCGGACAGGCTTTTTATCCGCTCTAGATCGACGGAGCCAAGGAGTGGGTTGCCAGGGAACTCTGTGAAGAGGGCACACAGCTCCAGACCTGCAGCCAAGTCCTCCCCCAGAGTTTCCAAGTCGGATTGTGTACCGCTATAGATTTTACACTCGTACCCGTGGATCCTGCTTAGAACTTTGATAGTATCGACATACAAAAATCTAGATCCGTCGTTAGTCTGGTCAACTACCAGGTTCATTTTGACATACCCGAAGATCGCAATGGTCCTTGTTGTCGTTGTAGCGTAAAGGCTGATGATATCATGGATATGGCTAATAGCCGACATGCCGGTGGGGTATAAGAGCACATCGCTCTTCTTCAACTTGTTGTCTTGGGTACTAAACGAGTCTGCAACGCGTTGTTGTATGGCAACCTTGGCCTCTTTGGCCTCCTGGATTGGAAGAATAGCGTCAGGCCATTCCCGGCCTCGATTAAGAAAAGGGGCATTCTCTAGCCAATACGTCGCTCTTCGACTTGAGATACCAAAGCCGGTATGTTGCCAGAATGCTTTGGCCTCTTTTGCTCCTTGTGGGGGGTAGACGACCACAGAGATTTCGTTCAAGTCACTTCCATTCTCCGACTTTTTGACAGGGCGAATATTACCTTCGAAGTCAACCACGAAGACAAATGCTCTTGTTAGCTGCTTTTCTAGATATCTCTGAAGATCTTTGGCATGATGACGCGCTGTTATTAGCATCGCTGATCTTCCGCGCTCTTTCAACGACTGCCTCAGCTCGTCTCGAAATTCGGCTGCAAGAAATCTCCAAGGCAAGCTAGAAGTCCATGTGAGCAATCGTTCTGCGAGTTCGTTGACCACAAGAGGGACGAAGAATCGAGGGTATCCGGTCTTGAGCTGGGCTATAAGTTCGGGGTCTCTTCTAGCCCAAGCTACAGTGTCTTCCCATGTCGGTATGTAGACACTGACTGCCTATTGGAGCCTGTGAGTATAGTGGTATTTGGCGATGTGGTCGAGAGTCCTTACATGTTTGTCTCCTGGTGGGAGAGAACTCCCAGCCTTGGCCCTCATCTCTTCACAGGATTTAATCGAAGATAGTCAATTTGCGGTATTCGGATCTTGTCCAGTTGGTCTTGTACTGTGCTTCGCCTGGTGACATCGTCGACTTCACAGCTTCATCGTCATTGTCCTCAACTTGATGAAACGGGACGAGAGTAGAAAAACAGCGTGGCCAGATGCCGATGCTTTATGTCCATATGTTGCCACGAAATTGTACTGATTTGGGGGCGTCTCACCGCATCTAATTCACCTTGATCATTGGTTCATGAGCAGGTTTTGTGCTGTGGATGGACAACAGTTTGAGACATGCATAAATACCTGTTCAGCTGGCCACTATAATAATAAAGGGCCAATGCGGGCGATTTACACATTGCCGATCTGAAGTGAGATCACAGTCATGCATAGGCTATCTGTAGATCTATCAGGCATTGGAATAGTTTCTATCAGCCGCATCGATTGTGCCGTGCTTTGTTGCGTGTGAGTCAATATTCTTTTGGCACTGACTTTTGGCGGTGAATCACAATTCCTGTACCTATTCCATATAATAGGTACTTAAAATGCCAACATACGCACCAACTCTGAGCCAGTCTTGAAAAGCAAGCTCATCCACGAATGATGTTTCGTGGCTTGGACTCATCGTCAATGCATGAAGGCAGAAGGGTAAACCTCCTGCAGAGTCTAGGGTATCCTAGTTGCAGTGTGGGAGATCTCATCAATGTGAATGCCGTAATGCAGGAGCGATTGACAGGGGTACCATGAATACCCCGAACCAATCAAATCGACCGTCCCCTACAGCTTTGGGCTATCTTAGCGGTCGGCGTCCCCCGCTCAACGCTGCGGCGGCTCCCGTACGTCACCCGGAGATTTGGAAGGGGACAGGTACGACGAGGTCTCGATTACCTCCTCCTACTTACCTAGGTCAGGCAAGTGCAGGTCACACCGTCTCTCACCTCCCCTCATCTTATCAAAGACAAACAACAAACAGCAAATAACTTCTCCTCCTATTCTTCCTCTTACCCATTCATCATCCTACAAGGCGTCTTTATCTTTTTAACTCCTTCAACATCAATTGAAACCTTGTACCAACTGCAATAATGACTACCCGTTACCGTGTCGAGTGTAAGTTAAGCCGTCACTAACCCCACCTCAAGCCCTCCCTTCTTGTCACCCAAACACTCATGGTTACACAAGCTCACGATAGTAAACAGATGCTCTCAAGACACACCGAAGGGACCAATTTATTGGTATGTTGGACTCTACTTGTCCCAGATATCACGAACGGCATCATACACTACACGTTCCTTCTAATCCAGTGTTTTCCCATTTCATCCCCGCATCACATGTCCCACCATCCACGCCTCAGTCAGACTCAGCCAGCTAACTCGAATCGCAGAATGGGTCAAGGGTCTTCTAGCTGTCCCTTTCGTTCTCTACTCTCAGCCCACTGGTGTTTTTGGCGATGGACCTAGTGTTACTCAGATGGCCGAAGAGGCTCACCGCCGTTACGCTGAGATTATGCGTGACGTTGAGCTCATGATTGATGACCACAGTAAGCCTCCGTACTCACCCTCATAGCAAACATATCTGAATCCCAAAAGTTAGCCGTCAGCAAGACGATACCATGCTCCCGTCCAAGTTGCGGATGCTGATTCCCACTGCGGGCCCTTTCTTCACCCGCCTGCCCCTGGAGGCAGCTTTCAAGTATCAGGACAGAAAACGGTACATCTCTTCACGAAGATTCGTTGCTCCATCCTTCAACGATGTCAGACAGATCCTCAACTCAGCCCAGTCCATGGCTGTTACGAATGGGTCACTGCAGTTGGCCACGTTTGATGGTGATGTGACCTTGTATGACGATGGGTTCAATCTTGAGCCATCGAGTCCTGTGATTCCCCGTCTCCTCGGTAAGATGGTGCTCAAAAAGTCGAAACAGTAAACTAATGTCCATCAGACCTCTTACGGAAGAACATCAAGATCGGCATTGTCACGGCTGCTGGTTACACTTCTGCTGACCGATACTATGAGCGCCTTCATGGATTGCTTGACGCAATTACGGAGTCAACTGATCTGGATCCTATTCAGAAGCAAAACATCGTCATCATGGGAGGTGAAGCAAACTACCTGTTTGAGTACTCACCTTCTTCACCCTACAAGCTCGCCCCTGTCCCGCGCACTCAGTGGTTGACACCTGAGATGGCCTCATGGTCGGATGCCGACATTACAAGATTGCTGGATGTTGCCGAAGGTGCCCTTCGCGACTGCGTCAACAACTTGAACCTGCCTGCCATGATCATGCGCAAGGACCGTGCTGTTGGTATTATCCCCAAGACGCCGGGTACTCGCATCGCCCGTGAGAGCCTGGAGGAGACTGTTCTCGTTGTTCAGCGCATCCTGGAGCTCAGTAGTCTCGGATCCAGCGAAGAGCGCCCGACCAAGCACCGACCCAACTCTCCTCCAATTCCGCCTTCAGTGGCGAGCCAATCACGCCGCGTGCCATTCTGTGCTTTCAACGGAGGTAATGATGTGTTCGTCGATATCGGTGACAAGAGCTGGGGCGTGACTGTTTGCCAGCAGTGGTTTGGTAGCAAGGAGAATGGTGGCGCCATTCGCGGAGAGAATACACTGCACGTGGGCGATCAATTCCTGAGTGCTGGATCTAATGACTTCAAGGCGAGAAGTGTTGGAACAACGGCCTGGATCGCAAGCCCGGCCGAGACCGTGGAGCTGCTCGACGAGCTGGCTGATCTGATGCAAAAGAAATTGTCTTGATTGCAAGGAAATTTCGGCTTTTTGCATGGAAGGTCTCTCTTGGGTATACTCTGACGCTTGATCATGTCAGAAGTAGATTGGCTGTTGCTCGAGGAGAGTCTCGGTTGTACGTGGACCTTCGCCTTTAAACGTGGCATCGGCAGCAAGCCCGTCGGCGTCCTGGCAACACAGGAGATTGATTCTCGTCGACTTATGTTAAGACGAATGACAGAAATTGCTGACGGATTAATTACTTGGTTGGCCTAACACCTTACATATGTCATATCATGCTGGTTCTATCAGTCACATATCTTGATTAATCTTTGAGCCGGGGATAATGATGGGAACAAGATCAGTGAACTGTGTTTATATCTGGGAATAATCTGTGTTGGAGTTTGATATCTACCAAGACTTTTGAATATAAATACCCACCGGATCTCACTCTATCCTGAACGTCTTTCACCATTGTCGCTCAAATAATATCTACCAACCTCTCTGATGCTTTAGCTGATGTGCAAGATTAGGATTTCTGATACCATTTAGAAACCTGATCATACTGACTCTCCACATCAACACGAGATATAGGATATTGGCATTTAAGAGATATGAATCTTATTCTTGAAGCTCCTGGCAAGTTGTAGAGATTATATTACAGAATAATGAAACTCGATCTCAACCGATTAATATTAAAAACCCTATCGTCCGTCCGGTGTGGCAATCATAGAGCTTAATTTGAACCTAATCTCTAAGCAACATCCGGTATGGTGTAGTGGCTAACATTTCGCGCTCTCAACTTACAGCTGAGGGATCAGTTCCGCGGAGCCCAGGGTTCGATTCCCTGTACCGGAGTTTCTCTTTTACATTTTTTCCCTTTTGATCTTGGATGTTCTGTTCTATATCTATCAACCATATATGCAAATCATGTCACTTTGATACCATTTATTAACGTATGGATGGACAGTCCGTCTTGCTGCATCTTCTTCAGATATATGATGAAAAAGTACTGCTCGGTGCTGCGAGGTGTGAGAACGGAGCTTCAGAATGTCATCTACGTGGGTATCTATCTCTATCAGTTCACGCATACAACTCATTTCATTCGACATAGCAAGTGTGGCAAGCATCTCAGTAAACTCAGTTCTTGCAAGTGTCCTCTGAGAGGAGCAACATCAAGACACTTCACATTTTCCAATAGCCATCAGGCGAGAGTGCATGGCCCTTTCTGACAATGAAGCTTCCTTGACCTACGAATATTGCTCACGGCAGCTCGTGCAGGAATTAAAGCAATTGATACTACTAGCAATGCAAGCAAGTATTTCGACTTTGCCAGTAATGTATTAGAAGACTCGAAAGCTCGAACGCGGTAGTTATCCCAGCTTCAACACAAGCAAGCAAAAGGCCTGTTTACAAACCCGCATGAGCACAGTCGAGATGCGGGATTCCTCAATGATAAGTCCTCTCATGACTGCATGGAATTATTGAGGGGGCTCTTCCCAATGGAGTTTTACCACGGACGAAGGTCCGGTTATAACCCGTCTTGGCCACGTCAACCGCATATTAGCCACGATTGTGACACTGGAGGAGAGACGCATACGGCAAGCAAGCAGCAAACATATCGTGTCACAATCGGCTATTTGAGCCAACAAGAGACATTGACTAGGGGGATGTATAAGAATTACGTGTAAGATAATAGTATCTATGGACTGCCCAGTAGCCTGAGCGCATTCTTGTGAATGGGGGCGTAAGCTTACACGTATCGCGCATGTATACATTCGCCTTGGCAATGCAATGCACTGTTGAAGTAGGTAACTTGGGGATCAGGCTATATAACAAACACGACTTGCTTTGTTTCTCATTCTGTCTTATTTCTTACGTTGGATAGATGAAGCCACGTGATATCATCATATAGTCTATTCAATTCAATTCCCTCAGTTCAGTTCAATTCAGCTCAGCTCAGCTCAGCTCAGCCCAGGTTGGTTGGTTGGCTGGCTTATTTATACCGAGTTAGCTCCCTTCAGCCTCAAGCCATTTGTGTTTGCTCCATGGACTTCGCTGGAGGACTCAGCTCTGAAGAGATTCGCCGAATTGATCGAATAATGGATTTGGAATGGATGGAATTCGCTGAAGGGTGGGAGTGGCATGCACTGAATTATGTGAATCCTCTTCCTCCTATGATACCTTACCCATCTTACTGTGTCAGTCGTCGATGTGGATGGTGTCGCTTTTCGATCAAGCCCGGCGACCTCATCACAGCCAGTCAGTTACACAGCCTCTGAACGTCAAAAATCAATACTAATCCTATGAAAGGAGCATCTGGTGGCACTGAAACCGTTGCCTTTGAATCGTGCGATTCCTTCAACGATGAAAAGTTGCATGCAACTTTCAGGCGCTGCACAAGTGATCACGAGTCATGTGCAACAATCGGATACCACGTCGAATGCTCCGAGATAGCTTCATCATTCGGGCTTGACAAGAGAGCCTTTGTGCAAGTTGCTCGATATTCTTACGAGCCTTCGGTTCAAGAAGATGAGCGGCGACGGGAGTGGATTCTGAACCACTTGCACCAGATCATGAGTGAAAAGTTCACAAGTCTACCACCAGAGATACTGCTTATGATAAGCAAACATCTGGTCCCTCACTATGCGATAGCTTCACTGTCTCATGTCTCTCGGTCGATTCAATGCACGATCGAGCCATTGAAGGATGTATGGGCTACTCATTTCGACCTGGACGGCATTGAGTATATAGCTTCCTTGTCGAACATACCAAAGCCCGGAAGCCGTTTAGTCTGGAGAGAGATCAAGGGCCAGGAGGAGAACTATCTTTTCATCTCAGAAGATCATCTCGGTATTCGACAGATCGTTAACGATCCTGGAGCTGTTACATCGGTACAAGGTAGTTCAGGCTGGTGGCGAACACTCCCGATCACCAGCACAGTCCTCTCATTCTCTGATGATGTAAGTTTTATACCTTTGGTCATCATAAGTTACAGTTCTAATGCCAAGGTAGGGCCTCAAATTGCGCAGTTTTGCTGCCGCTCCATTGAATCCTACCATCTGTTGGCCGTATCCCATGGCCCCGGATGCGTTGAAAAGTATGGCTTATCACGTCACAAAAGACTCATCTCCAAGTCTCGGTATGACTATAGAAGCTCGCATGGTGGCTTTGGAGTTCAACGAGCCTGAGATCACGGGATACTCTGCTTGTTGGTACAAGGACCAGCTGGTCGATCTTCATACGCACAAGGCTGGAGAGTCCTTGGCTTTTTATCGTGAGCTGGACGAAATGGCGAAGCAAAAGTTAGCCAAAGAAAAGTCAGACGACTCGACCGCAAGTCCAGCGCCTCATTGGACTTACCATCCATTGAATCCCGGAGAACGTGTTGAGCAAGTCTGGTTGCGTTCAAGAAAAGAAGTAGACGAGAAGGACACAACTGAAGACGAAAGACGGCCAAAGACATCAGATACTGCCAATGGAACTGCGATATCGGTATGATTTGACACACCGTACCCCCTTGGAGCTTGAAGCTGACTCATATTAGCTGGTCACTAATCAGTCGAGAACACTTACCATAGGAAGAAGCAGTTCACCACACAGCGAGTGGAAATGCATAGCCAAAGAATCAACGGATATTCCAACGCTAGTGTACTTTAGCCCTCGTCTCGGTGGTATTTCTTTGTTCGCATCGCCCACTGTGAAGGGAAGTGACAAGGAGACCTTGCCAGCAGGACTCGCACCCGAACCCGAAACAGATCTTGTTGAGACCCCAGGAGTCTCGCTCGATGCTGTGAGAGAGGTTCAGATCTGCAGAGAACAATCTGAGAAAGTGACCAGTTCAATATCCGGCCTCTTGTTTCTATACAAAGATGGAAGCCAGGCATGTATGGGCAAGTTTCGTTTCGATCATGCGAAAGAGATTGTGCCTGTTGCCGATTTTACGTGCTTCTATCTCGGCACCAGATACTTGGGTCAAGGTAATCAAGTCTTGGGGGAGTTCTGTTTATCGAAGCCAGAGTATGAGGATAAACCACTGGAGTGGAAGAGTACTCTATGGAAAGGAAGTTTTCCACGGGAGATCATGCTATTAATGGACAATTAATTGAGTTTCCTGAATATATAATGATTGGATATATTAACCAGTAAATAAGCAATTGATTAAACCCTCTCTAGTCTCTTGATCAGTAACTCGTGACGAGGACGAGGAGAGAGAAGTTAGGGGACCCAAGAAGATTTCCATATTTTGACCACTGGCCGCTAAGTTTATGCAAATCTAGCCTAATATCTCTGTATAGTTCTATTGTTATCGGCGGATTATTGATTGATGTCATGAATGGGTAGAGTCACATGTTGGAAGCCTCGAGATGTGCGTGTTGCAATTACGTCAATTGCTCGTAAACGGTGTCTCAGGGGGACTTTAGCCACAGCATACCTAATGATAATGAGACTGCAATGGCTTTTCTATCCAACTTGACAATTATCTATTGATGACACTATCACTATTGAAATTGGTGTCTGTGTTTTTTCGACTACAAACAAAAGTGCTGACACCAAAATGGCTGAGTCCAACAAGCTCTACAACGACTACACCGAAAGCACATACGCCAAAGTGTGCTCAGATCATAATGAAGCACAACTAGAACCGGCCATGACCTCTAAAGACGAGAACGAAAGGCTCAGCCCTCTCCAGAAACACGTTCAATTCTGGGACCGCGACAATGACGGCATCATCAACCCATGGGACGTCTACAACGGCTTCCGCGAGCTCGGCTTCGGCCTCTTCTTCTCAATAGGCTCTCTTCTCATCCCCATCTTCTTTTCATATCCAACACGCCTCGGTCATTGTTGGCTCCCTGACCCCTTGTTCCGCATCTATGTCAATGACATCCACAAGGCCAAGCATGGTTCTGACACAGGCATCTTTGACTTTGATGGAAACTTCAGCCACGAGAGATTCGAGCAGATGTTTCAGCGGTTCGATACATCAGGCGATGGAGGCTTGAATTATGATGACCTATGGAGATTATGGGCGAAGGATCGCTGTGCAGCAGATCCAGCTGGTTGGACCTTTGCTTTCATGGAGTGGTGGACAACATATGTGCTTCTCCAGGAGGATGGAGTCGTGAAAAGGGATGACCTGAGGGCCTGTTATGATGGAAGCCTGTTTTGGAGGATCAAGAACGAAAGAGAGAGACGCAGTCAGTGCATGGACAGAAAGAGCTTTGGCATGAGAAACTTCTTTGCTTCAATTTAGCAGGCCCTCGAAAAGCATAGCCTCAATTTCTACCACGGGTCATCTACAGGTCACGTAGAGTAAATAGATAGCAAAATTAGAGAATATTGATCTTCTATCAAGCCTTTAGGTATGATTATCTCCAGTCCCACCTAATGTTGGAGACCTTGGTTGGAAGCCAAGCGGTGTTCGATAACCTCATCAGCACGTACAACTTGGGCCAACGTCTTGAGAGTGTTTCCTTTAAGAACGTGATTTTGTTTCCCTATCTAAATGCTTCTCCCTAAGAAGTCGGATACGCCGTAAAAGCCTCTTCTCTTGGCCTGAGACTGGTGTGTTGTAGGAGTATGGCGATGATTCTTTGCCTGCTATACCATCGCCGTTCTCAACCAAGTATTCGTTACTGATGAATCCTTTTCGTCCAAGGTAACGTCGCATGTCCATTCGTAGCCTGGCCTGGCTATTCGTAAACCTTTCTTTCAGGCATTTCAGATACTTGCACGAGATCTCAAGCGGAGAACTCGATACATCCAACACATAACGCAGACGAGTACGCGGAGGTCTTGAACGGGTGTCACCACCAGTTCCTGTTCCTTATAGCTCACAACGAGAGACTGCCGAGGATGTTGAGAGGGGTGATGTGTTTGTACCGGAATAGGGGGCTCTGCCAGAGTTATACAAAACGCGGAGTTAAGACTGACGCAAAGAGAATACGAGCATCTTACAAGTCTCAACTCTTGATAGGACATTAAACACAACTGGGTATGCTTGGAGAACAGAGCGGATAATGACTGGCTACTCCTTACGTAAAGCATATCCCCTACGCAGCTGTGCTACACCAGAACAAGACGTAGACCATCATTAACAATCACAAAACATGGAAGTCGTAAGCTGTGCTCATCTCTACTGTGTGCCATTGCCACTCAATTGTGTCGGTTGATCTGGAGTAACCACGGTCTTTATGAAACGACTGATTCGAAAGTGAGATCAGGGAGATAACTTTCCCCTCTATTATTACTTCACTGAAAGCAGATGCCCCTGAAACTTACCGAGGACATGGAGGTGATATCACGACTTTTTGGGGGACCAATCATAAAGCAAGTCATAAGAGTCTTGAATTCTCATACACTAACCGATCTCAAGGGCAAAATATTACAGCAAGTCATCCTTGCTCGATGACCTGTCAATCATTTGTGATTTGGATCCCCAGAATGACGACTATCGTGTAACAAGCACCCCACGATCGTCCCCAGAGATCCCACCAGCTCGCCCATCATTTAGTTTGTATGGAGTCGGGTCTCAGTTCTGGTGAGTGCTGTTGGGGGGATCATGAAGAGAAACAGGAAGAAACAGGAGGTTATGACCGAGTTCATTGTCTCTAATCATACCTAAACGCCTATCGGCTGACTCTTAACTGGCGAATTATACACTTTTGTACATATGACTCTTGTCTGGATCCTCAGAATCCCCCTTTACCATCATAAGCTCCCTTCTTGGTAGCTTCTTTCCATAACCTCTTCTTCACTTCCTTCACCGTCTCCCCTCTCTCCTCTGCCTTGCGTTCCAACTCCTCCTCAAGTTTGGCCTTTTTAGCAGCACTTTCCTCTGGCGTCGCCACAGGAAGTAGTGTCCGCTCAAGTGGGTTATAAGGAACCCAGCCAAAAGGGTGCAAACTCGAATCCACATCCTTCTCCCACCAGGCATACAATTCGCGGAGAGTAGGAGATACGTCGTGTTTATATGCCCCAAGCCATGCCGCAAGCGCTGCCCTGCCAAGTCCAAGTGCATACCTCTGCTCAACCTTTTGCTCGTAGGTAAGCTGCCTAGTCATTTCTAAAGACACTGGAATCAACGGGACTTTCAATCCCGGGTGCCGTTGGTCTGGGCGCGCCAGCACGCCAAATGGTGCGTCAAGGAGGCCTATGTATAACCTGCGTTTGTAGATTTTGGCGAACACTCCGTTCGTGCTAGGCGGATCAACCATTGGTATGGTCGCGTATTCCCTCTCGGTCGGCGGGTTGTCGGCGGCCAAGATGTGCCAGACTCGCAGTGGTATTAGTTTCATGATGGCCGATGCCCATTCTGAGGCAGATTTCAACTTGAGAATTTCCTCCCACTGATCCGTCTTTGGCAAGGTCATGAGTGTTTCGACAATGTGTTCCATATGCTTTTGCACCTTGTCTTGCTTCGCCTCGAAAATTGCGATTTGCTCTGGGGTAGCATCCATATTATGTTGCCATGGAGTTTTGGGCCGGCTTCGTCTCAGTAGCTTGATTCCCTTCTGTTCTTCCATCTGCCTGAGCTGGGCCAAGACACTGGGAAAATATCGGTCCATCCGCCTTGCGATGTAGTCTATACTGAAATATGGCCGTTTGATGAACTCTTCGAGCTGAGCCAACTCTTCCTCGGTCCATGGCCTTGCTTTAATCTTGAGCTCATCTCTTGGGTCTGAGGATAAGAGAAGGCCTGGATCTGGGGTCGGGGCATCACTATCACCAACGTCTTGGCCGCCAGTAACATGGTTACTACTTTTGATTGAGTCGTCTACAATTGGCTTCGCTTCGTTGCTGGGTTCGACAGCGCTGTAGGCTTCTATACCCTCCTCGGCAGCAATATCGCTGCTGATATGTATTGATTCGTCTGACTTCGCTTCGTTTCTGGCCTCAATAGAGTTCTGGGCTCCTATACCCTCCCCAGTAGTAATGTCGCTGTTGATATTTGTTGCTTCGTCTGGCTTGGCATCGTCACCGGTGTGAAGATATCTTGGTTGTTGGAGACCGAGGAGGCGAATAGGGCTAGGTTGTCGTTTGGAGACCGCAAGTTTGTTTTGGTGGTGGCGCAAAAGGCTCAAGGAAAGTCTACGGCTCGCGTTTGACAATTGATACAAGGAGAAAGGTGCCATTATCGTGGGTGCTGAGCAACACCGACTTCCTCGCGTTCGAAGTTGACGGCGAGACTGGAAAATGTTGCGTAGAGCAGAGCTTCAGCTTCGTAACACGTGACATGGTTTACAGGCACAAGACCGATTTTTTACAACTACCAACCGGATTTCGATGCCATTTTTGCAAAAGGTCTTATTTTACTCGCTCGAAATAAATACTGGCTTATATATGCAACTCTACTGGTTGTTTTACTGTGCATTCAAAGATGTCGATGGAGCGCGGTCATAGGGAACCCACATCGACAGCTTGGGCACAGCTAAGGAATATCATACACCAGAATAGACATTTAAAACAGCATGCTATGCGTAAAAATATATTCCCCTGCAAGCGGTAGGTACGTAATGTCGTGGAGTCTAGAACTAGACCATTATTATCATACAACATCTGCAGCATCCATCCATCTCAAGCGAGAACTTAGAGAGAGACACATCCATCCGCGCTGTCCTCAAGGAAGATACCGCCGTAAATAAGTCCCTCGTTCAAGTTGGCCTCCTGGAATCCAGAGTTGGCAACATCATCGGTACCAGTAGGCTTCTTGAGGATACCAATCTGGAACTGTCCCTGGCCGGTCAAGTTGCGGGCGATGGGCTGAGTAGCGACCTTGAGAGGCTTGCAACCCTTGGAGTAGTAGGCTTGGATGGTGCTATGATTGTTAGATACGATCGTTATGCTATATTTGTTGGTAGAGACTTACTTCTTCTCGTAGTTGAGAGTGATGGCAAAGTTCTGCCACACCTTCTTGAGCATAGGAGTCTCCCAGAGAAGCTTGAAGTCCTGGTCGAGAAGCTTCCAGGTAGCAGCCGTGCCGTTCTGTCCGATGAGTTGACCAGCTTGGAACTGGAACTGGTTGCCGGAGAAATCGGCCTTCTCGTGCCAGACATTCTATTCTTGTCAGTATCAACCACCTTGATAACAATTGAAAGAACACTTACCAGGTACTCATGGCTAAGGTTGAGAGGACGCTTGTCATCCTGCATGATGCTAAAGTGCAGAGTCTTTACACCCTTGGATCCAGGGCTGCCCTCATTGCTATCCTTGTTGAACTGCAGACCAGCACGTCTGAAGCCAAGCTGCTTCATGAAGATACTCTTGTCGCTGATGGTGACCTCAAGTGGGATGGTACCAGCCTCGGTATCGAAGCGCGACTTGGTCTTGGTCTTGGGAAGCTGAAGAATCTCGGACCAGGAGATGTTGTTTCCCTTGACGAAGCCGGGGTTGTAGGGGTTCCAGCCGCCGCCATTCGCCGTGTCGAAGTCGGTCAGAGAGGCATTGGCAGGGACTCGGCCGTCGAAGACGACGGGGCAAGTCTCGCTTGCTCTGGCGAGAACCTGAGAGCGTTGGCCGAAGGGAGAGGCAGAGACCACGGAGGCCAGAAGAGCAATGAATGCAGCGGTACGCATGGTGAACGAGTAACGGTATATACGAATGGTAAAGGAATGAATGAAATACAAAGAAATGAACGGATACTAGCCAGTAGTAACTTGAAGACAAAATGCTACAGTACCAACCATGTTATTGCGATGCAACAGCGTCTTAATATACATCTCGAACAGAAACCCTTTTCAGTCTTTCAGATCGGGTAATTCGGTAGGTGCTCCGTTTCAGGCCAGGTTGGTAATCTTGTATACGCGGCAGTTGAACAAGACATCCCACTTTGGGAATGAGAGTCGGTTATTCCACCCGTAAATATATATCTGCCATTGGAGGAATTATTAATCTGGACAGTTGACGGTGTATCTGAAACGTTTTCCAGAAGCCAGAGAAACTTTAACTGGGCGCAAATTAAGGTTTAATTAAGGAACCGGAGCCGGGTTGTAGGGGGATTCCGATATTTCGACGATAGTTTCAGGAATAGAACACGGGGCAGATGGTGGATATATTTTGAGACGGGACAAAAACTTATTTACTCTACGGAGTACGTACTCAGAATTTCAGAAAGTTCCTAGATCATCCTTGGACGAATCCCCGATGAGCAAAAACTCCTCGGAGGAAGGAACGGTCTGCCTCCCCCTCGGGGGCAAGAAAACAGCGAACCTCGCTGTAGGGTGTCAAAATAAACTTAGCAAAAGTCATCCTAAACTTAGGCTGTATCACCTAAGTCTTTTTGTCACTTAGGATTCAGGTCCTGTGTTTTCTTTCCTCCCCTAGCCTCCGTCAGCTCCGGGATGAGACGGACCCACTGTCGGCCGTGCTCCATATCAAATGCCGCCCACATCGGCACTTGAAAGCTCTTGGCTGCCGAAAGTACATATGTACTGAAGTTCATATTAAAAGTAGATCGGGTATCATTCCATTTTAAGCTTACACAAAAAGTGAGCACTATCATTTTCGCATTCCCACAGTTGACGGCCCGGCAAGTTTATTCTTCTTCCCCGCCATCAAGCTCAGACTTTGCAAAGTAACCGTCCACCAAGAGTCTATATGCAGTGCTAAAGTAGCCTTTGAATCTTGACTCCTTCACAAAACTCCGTATCTATTCTCTATTCTCACTCCCCCCATCCATCCCTCTCAGCCAGCCTCTTTTCCCCAGGATCCTCGTGTTACATCTGGGGAAGACACTTCCAATTCTCCAACATCCCAACAATCACAACTTCTCCGTGGGTAGCACAAACAAAAAAGAAAGAAGAAAAACACCTCCACCCCCACGGAATCTCCAATGCGGGCACGAATCAGCCCTCCTGCTTCTCGGCACTGATATCCGAGGAGGCTTCTTTCGGTGTGCCAGTTCTCTCTCGTGCAGCGCGGTAGTCGCGCTTCATCAGCCTCAGTTCTTGTCATGTTTCGCTCGGCACGTTATTTCCGCGATGCTGCATTAGTTGTGAACCGGAGTAAGTGTTAAGCATGACCGGTCACGCGGATCATGCATGTTAAACCGCTCCAAAGGGAGCAATGTGATCTGAAGCCAGAGCTTGTGAGTGAGCCAGACACTCACCCACTCACTCACTCACTGGTCGTGAGACTCTCTCTGTTCCGTCAAATCCTCTTGACCACGTGGGGGATTGTCACTGTGTCTCAACTTTGTCCAGAACCTTTGCGTTGATGACGGCTTCAGCCTTAGTCAGGTACCCGGAACAGACACTCAACACCAGTGAAACTCAGTGGAAACCCACGACGACCGGCGAGGCGTATCGTGAGGGTGTATTAGCGTCACGCACTGCTCTCATTCTCAATCTCATTCACATTCACATGTCCTAATGCATCACCAATTCTTTCCAGTGCTCAGCGTCATCGCAACGCCTCACCTTTGTTCCCAAGTCCAATGAGGCCCTGTGACATTTCCACTTTCGCTGCTACTATCGATCAGCGGTGAGACCGCTCCAACATCATATCCAAGCCAATATATCGCTCATCCCGACTTCGCTTTGGTCATGGCTAATACAGTATGAACATCGTCGTCATGAGACATGCGTGCATATCGCGTGGGATGCTTTCCGTCGCTTCTGGATATGTAACACCGAAAACTCCCAGCCCCCAGCATCGGCGCGTCCGCACACGCCACAGAGGGAGGAGTATGTACTCATCTGTCCCAAATTGCCGGGTAAATAATCATTCTTACAGTAACGACATGTGATATAACGTGCTACGATATCAACAAGTGGAATGCTTGCTTCCATCATCCTTCTAGTAAATAGATCTCGCTTCAATCCCTGTAAATCTAGATAATGCTCTTACTCAACCATCAGGCGATTGATAACCGCTATCTCAGAGACGTCAAAGCACCTGATAAAGACGTCAAATGTCGCGGCCACAACACCAAGTGGTACCGAAGACGGCCCTTCTTTTATGGATACTCAACACGAACCGAGGCTGGAGTAAACAATGATTGAATAAACAAAGAATGCAAGTCTATTGTGCTAGTTCGCAGAAAAGACTGGTAGCAGTGGCGTCGTAGCACCAGAGCAGCAAGCCCATATATACATACGTCCGTATACATATGTACGTGATACTTGTATGAATAAACAATCTTCAAGGGGGTCGCGCGCATCTTTGAATCCAAAACTTCATAGAAAAGAATAAACGGGTGAAGTGATAAACCCCCATGGTCATCCTTCTACCCGACTTTTCTGTCCATCTGCAGACCAATGGCATGTTAAATATCCATTATCCATCAGATTCCAAAAGAGCAAGAGACTGTTTCTTCGGGGGGGTATTAAGTCTGCTTTGCTTGTAAGACATCCATCCCCCACCCTCGTCGGCTGTAGTGCGTCGTCATCCGACGAAAATGGGGAAAAGGTTGTATACTATGTACAGGTTGGAGTGTAAAAGAAAAGAAGCGACAGAAATTCACCAACTCCAAACCATGTAGGCCTAGACCATCATCCATGGCCAGCTTGACCCCAACGCCAATGTAGGTGAATGCAAAAGTTATAGGCGCACAAATCCAATGTTGCTCTTATTATCAAAGAAATAGTTGTTTAGTGTTTGTAGGACATTTCAAATGTCGTTCCATCAGTCATTAAGTCGTCTAGTAGCCCGGCTGGCCTGGCATCTTGCCCAGCGAGTGTGAGCCAGTGCCCTTCGGGGGTAGATGGTTGTGGCAAAATATCTTTTTGTTGCCGTTTGCTGTGTTGTCCTTCTTGGTCGCATCAATGAGAAGAGCGGGGTCATCGTAGGATTCCAACTGGCAGCACTCGACATTCTTCAGCCAGCGGTTATGGATGACGTCCTCGATGCTGATACGCTTTTGCGGATCAGGGTTCAACATCTGTAGCACAAGACGGCGGAGAGCAGGTGGGGACATGCCCACGTCGAGGGCGTAGCATTTGGGGTAATCGGTATCAGAGATAGTGGCGTCGGGCTCTGGGTGCTTTCCATACCATGTTTCCCAGCCCTTGACGAGCTTATCATAATGGAGCTCTCCTGGGACAGCGCGGGACCAGATGGCGCCGCCAAAGGTGAGATAAATCATGACAATCGCAGAACTCCACACATCGAGTGATCGAGGGTCGTAATTTTCCTTCTTGGCGAGGACCTCGGGAGCGATGTAAGGCTCACTTCCACAAATGCCAGGTGAGCAAAGGCGGATCTCGCCGCTCATGTTACGGCCGCATTGTCCACCAGCTTCACGAAGACCGGGGTGAGTACCACAGAAAACTTCCGATACACCAAAATCGGTAATCTTGAGCTTACTGTCCTTGGTGATCAGAAGGTTCTCAAGCTTGATGTCACGATGGGCAATGCCATTGGCATGCAAGTAATGGACACCTTGAATAAGCTGCTTGAAGAGACACATGCGGTCCTTCTTCCGGTCATCGCCCTTGAGATGACCCTTGGAGACCAAGCTGAAAAGATCACCTTCCGAGCAATATTCCATGACATGGTTCCATCGCCCGTGATCGGTACATAGGCGGAAAGTCTCAACAATATTGGGGTGATGTAAGCTCTTCGCAATGCTGAACTCTGACTTGATCTTGTTCTCGTAGTCCTGTTGGCTTTCCCGGTGCGATTTGCCGCGGAACTCCTTGACGGCGTAGAGCTCTTCTGGGTAACCTTTTCGCATCATGAGGGTAACCTTAGAAGCCGCTCCCTTGCCAAGATGCTTGCCATGACGGCCGAGGAACTTGCGCTGGTATTCGAATTCGTTCTGTAGCTCAGCTACGTCCACAGCGAAATCATCAGGGAGGCTTAAACTCATGCGTCGAGCCTTGGCACCGGTACCGGAGTCAGGAGGTAGAGGCCAGACACTTCGTTCGGGTGGGTACATTGTCTCGTCGCCTTCCGCAGGAGGTGGGAGAGGGGTGCTGGGTCGGCTACCGTCATAGCTGCTGGCTCTGCGGGAGTATTCGGGACGCTTGTGTCCGGTTCCTCGGCTGGAGTTGTGAGCGCCAACGAAGTTAATTGCTCGGCCACGCAGAGTCAGACCAGTCGATGCACGGTTCTTCTTGAAGTCTCCTTGGCTGGGAAGAGACTTGTCAGAGTCACGTTCGCGGTGTGCGGGAGCCATTTCCAATCCATTGTCGCTAGGCGAAGGGGGTGAGTTGGAACGAGTAGTTGCAGAAGAGCGGTTCATGGAGAAACGACGGCGAGCTGCAGCACGTGGTTGGCCATTTGTTTGAGGCTCCGTTGGTGCGGACACGACGGAGGGTGTTGCAGATTCCGAAGGTATATAATCGTTTTTAACATGGGAATTAGATCGGCGGAAGAAGCTCGACATGGTGCGCTTGAAACTCGAGGTGGAGATGGAACCTCGGGTTGACTGACGGGTGAGAGAACTGCCTGGCTCAGGTTCTGTTGCTCTGGGAGTACTTGGTTCGTAGGTAGTAGGAGGGCGGCTGTTATTTACGGATTGTGATATATATGTTCCTTTGTTGGGGTTGACCGAGTTGGGGATCGCGATAGGTACAACTCCTGAAGATGTGGCTGAAGCTGTCTGGTAAGACTGCAGATTTTGGAGGTCCTG